CCTGAGGAATTCCCAGTGTTCAGCAGTAGCTGATTTAATTTACATACCCACCAGCTGTGTCTAAGAGTCCCTGCTCCCACAGCATCATCAGCACTTGCTATCTTCAATTGTGGTGACAGCCACTCTGACTGGAGTCGTGTGGCATCTCACTGTAGTTTGGTTAGCATTTCCCTGGTGGTTAATGATACTGAGTTCCTTTTCATAGACCAGCTGATCATCTGTGTGTCTTCTTTTGAGAGTCATGGTTCTCTTTTTTGCTCAGTTTTAATTTGCTTTATTTGGAAAAACTTTTCTATCCAACAGTTCGGATTCCCTATATCCTTTTATAGGACCTGCTGTCATATATCTGTTAGGACATTTGGCTGGTACAATTGTGTAGTAGTAAATAAGTGTCACAAATACATCTTTAAGGATATTATATGGTACCTTTCATTAGCAACAAGTTAATGTCCCAACAGACCTTCACTTGGGAGGCAGACTTCAGCAGTAACATTCTATGAAATTGCCTCCCATAGGCGACTTTACATCTCCACTCTGTTCTCTGTTTCCTTCCCCTTCTAGAAACTCTTAGTTTTGTCTCATTTTGTCTTTGTTGCAGTGTGTGAGGGTGGGGTTGGGGTGGTGGTTGTGTGCTTATGTATATGAAATATCCCCTCATGTTCTTTTCTAAAAGTCTCAGACTCTCATGTCTTACATTAAGACTTTACTAAGCTGGCTTTTGTATGATGGGAGAGGTAAAGGGTTCATCTAATTTTTCTGCGTGTGGACATGTAGCTTTCTTAGCATCACCTATTACAGGGCCTATCCTTCCCAGTGTACCCTTGGCTTCTCTGTTGAAGTCAGCTGCTATCAGTGTGGTCTGCTCTCTGGGCTCCATTCACTCATGTGCATCTACTTTGTTCTTTGTGGGAGAGTCTGCTTATTGTAGTTACTAGAATACATAGCAGTAAACGGGATGGTAGAGTTCAAAATGAAGCCATAGGGCATTAATGAAATAGAGAAGACACAAATAAATAGAAAGATGTTCTTTGTTCATGGATTAAGAGAATTCCTTTAAATGTTACACTACCCACAGTAATGGCCAGTTGAGTCCCTATCAGAATACCAATAACATCCTTCACAGAGACAGAGATACAGCAAAGTTTGCATTGGAACTATAAAAGACCCAGTGTAGCCAAAGCCATCTCAGAGCCGAAGACACTGCACTGTGGGATGCCATGGTAAGGCAATGCAATATTTCTTAATATGATTCAAAACTTAGCAGGAACATATAGATTTGGCCTAGTAACCCTCAATATTATATTCAAATTCTGATTTTATTCCAGAAACCCATTCAAATTTTATTCCTATTAAAACACTCCCATCTTTATTGGATTTTAAAGAATTTTCTTATCATCTTATGAAGCCCAGTGAGTTTAAAATGCTTTTTATTAAATAAGGGTGCATTGAAATTTTAACTCAATTCAGTTCAATGGATCATATCTTACTGCTGACATGTTGGAAAATTATAGCTTCATTCTTAGGGGAAAAAAGTATTAAGTCTAAATTAAGTTATATGCAGAAATTTTATGGATCTAATCACAGATTAGAAGGAAAACCATAGTGTTTTGATAAAATATTGGTAGTAATGGACTATCAAAATGTAAAGATTCTCTGTAGGGTACCCAGAGCTGAATCTGTATCTGAAGTCTGTGGAAGCTGTTGAGAATCAGTGTTCTGACCATTTCAAATCAGTTACTTAGTTACTAAGCAAAGGTAAATGGGGCTTGTGGGGCAGTTTTGTGGGTCTAGTTCCTTTGTTCTTCTGTGGTCTCAAGTTATTTAATAACTCTTCACAGTGCTCAATATTGCTTGTACAATAAGATTATCGGGTGAACAGCTGAGAGAATCATTTTGCATCAGTGACTGGGAGAGCATTTCTTCATATTACCTGCCTTCTAAGTGAGACATTCTTAAGCCTTGCTACTATTCTGTCCCTCAAGGAGCAGGAGGGGATATCCCAGGCAAGGAAGGAAATGCAAGGATCCAGGGCACAACAGATAGTTCCTTAGTAAAGGTTCCCCTGACACACACTGGGAGTCTAGAGTGGAGGTGTGCATGTGAGGATATGGGAGAAGCTACAGATGGAGAGCGGGGAAGTGAGACAGGAAGGAGACAGCATTAAAGGGAGCATTGCACAGCTGCCATGGGGGTGCCTGGTGCCCGATCCCACAGGAGCAGGCAGAGACCCTGCATGGATGAGTACTGAAGAGATGGGCTGGCTGTCACTGAGCCATAGAAGCTCATGGTTGCTGCTCTTTAGACAATCAGAGAAGCAGTGTCATCAGATCAAAGATGGACACAGTGGAAACATCTGTAAAGATGGACAGCAGATACCTACCCTGGAGCTGTTACAGGGACTGTAAGTACTCTCCAGTTATCTCCTCTATCCATCACCCAGGTGTACACAGGGTGTGGAGTGTGGCTCAGCTCCATTTGAGTGAACCCTCCCCATGGGCTCTTTGACCAACATAAAACCTGTCTGGAATTTAAATGGCTAGCCTCCTTTATTTATTAAGTTGGCGTTTATAAGGTGTCTTTGGGTGAACTTTGTATTTCTATAGTTGGTCTGTTGCTCGCTTGTATTTCTTCCAACTCTTTCAGAATATCTTCACCATTCGAGTCAAAGAAGAGATAAATCACTACGCATGTGCAGGAAGCACATCCAGCCAGGACCTGGACTTGTTTCTCCTCCTCCTTTTAGCATTCTCACAGACTCTGGAAAAGGCAGCATGCTAAGCAGAGATGCAGCCGTCCACCTTGAGGAGTGGTGCTTGCAAGCAAAGCCACAGAATGCTTCCCCGTAACTGTCTGCTTGCATTTCCGTGCTGTGAGAACGTTCAGGAGAACTTGCCATTGCCTGCTTCTCTTTTGCTGCTTCATTGAAAACTCTAAAGGGCTGAGAATTTTTGTTTGCTTTATATCTCAATGCAGTGGTATTTGCTCCACCCATGACCTTGGCCTATAGGGCCCAAAGGAGGCGGTGCTTCTTGCCGTTGTATGTGACCTCTTAAAAGGAAAGAAGAGAGGGGTCATGCGGTCCCTTCTTCCTCTTAATTATCTATTTTTTTTTATCCTGGTGTGATTGGACTCCGGACAGCCTGGGAATAGAATTCGGGTCCTCTGGAACACCAGTGAGTGCTCTTAACAGCTGAGCAATCTCTCTCCTCCTCAGCCTCCTCACGTGCTCAGAGCAGCACTGAGGTTCTTGGTAAGCACTGATTGAGTTAATAGAGGAACACAGTCTAGGCTTCCAGGGGTAACATGTTGCTTAGATTATACCCTAAGGACCTTGTTTCCATCAGAGGAGATGAGTTGTGTCTTCACATCCTGAAACTGCGTTATTGGAGTATCAGAAAGCATTCCCTTCTCGGGTGATGACAGCGATATGCTGATGGCTGTCTTCAGGCCCTGATTCGATGAACTGTTGCCACTGACGTCTCAGGATATCTGCTCCAACTCTGCATTTGTTCTCTATATTTAGAAACCATACCATCTGACTTTCCGTGTTGCTTTAGTCTGGGGTCACACATCATGTCTACACAGCCCCCCTGTGCCCAAAGGTTTGCATAGGACAGCAGAGGACCCACAGATAGATTTGTGAATACTGAGGTAGACTCAGAACTGTTCAGAACTGTGGTACTGAGGATGCATCCCAGCCTTTAACAGTGTGGAACTGGACCTGACTTCTGCTAGGCATACCATGCACCTCTGGGTAGAGCAATCCTGGGGTTTTACTTCTCCTCTCCATTCCCAGCTCCCCCACCCCTCCATATACCTTCGACTTCAGTCTTCTAGTGTATCTTACTCAGACTAACTGGAGATGATGTGAGGCACATCACTCTTCTACTGGGCAGTTCAGCAGCCTTTATTCTGCACTCTGGAACTTAGATAAGGACAATTTGGTCCTCTCCCTCACGATATAGAACCATAGTCTACATCTTATCAATTGTTTCTCGTTTACCTCCTAAGCTGGTCCTATGCTATGGAGATAAGATTTTAGAGCAGGGTAGGCAATCTCTCAAATTTTCATGTTCAGCCAAAAATAGCAGAATTTGATATTAGCTGGCAAGGGTGAGGAAGAAGGCTGAGAGCAGCTTCTCCTTTATGCCTAAGCCATGTTTGCTACTTCTAAAGGTAAAAGTCCTGAGACTCTGCCTCTACCTCTCCCAGTGCACCAGCTCTGTGTCAGGCACACAGAATAATAACATCTGATGGCCACGGGACCATCTTGACCCAGGTCATCACACGACAGAATCTGGCCCACCGCCTGCTCAGGAAGTGATATTACCCTGGAGTACAGCCATGCCATGTGCCCCTATCTGGTCTGAGGCTGTTTCCTCTTTGAGGTCAGAAGCTGCAGTCAATTTCATTGGACCCTGGGAGCCCTATGTAACTGGCCTTTTATAGAAACAAATAAACAACAAAACCACTTGCTGGCTTTTCCTGGAGATCCATCAGAGAAAGATCCTGCAGCATGACTTTTAATGATGGAAAAGAATTGTTCTAATACAGGTTGTGAGTAACAGTGTGACTTTGGGTAAAGGACCTTTCTGTGCCTCAGTTTCTCTACCTTGTTACCATAGAGACAAAGCCTATTTCATGTCACTATAAAGATTAACTTGGTAAAGAGCTTCAAGGCATAGGGCATGGGCTCCTTCATCTGTTTATTGATTTTGATTGATCCTGAGACTGTCATCCTGCCACCAAGGCCCACAACATGACACTTGACTGTATTTCAGAGTTGTGGGAACGTGAACACAGGGCAGAAGGAGAGAATAATTCAAAAAGTTGTCCTCTGACTTCCACATGAGCATCATGACATCCATGCCCTTGCCACCTTAAATAACAGTAAATAAATAAATGAAAAACATTTAAAAAGTAAAAGGAAATAGGAGTAGGCACTGGGCTAGATTTGACCCACCATTCATCATTTGTAAGGTCACAGTTTAAATGCCTACCAATAGTGCTTTCTTTTCTTCTCTCTCCACGACTCTTCAGCCGCTCTCCAAAAGCTTCTCCCCCCACTTAAAACACTCTTCCTTGCCGAGACCACAAGGCCTATCTGAAGGAAGCAGAAAGAGTTTGGTATGTTAACCTTCAATTTGTTGCCTCAGACCTCTGTTTTGTTCATTGGGTTGCCAGGGGCAGTGAGTAATGCCATTTTTGTGTTGAAGTGACTGTGTCAACCAATAATAGACAAGCATACCCAGTGACAACTTAGTGTTAAAAAAATCCAAATCTCGCCGGGCGGTGGTGGCGCATGCCTTTAATCCCAGCACTCGGGAGGCAGAGCCAGGCGAATCTCTGTGAGTTCGAGGCCAGCCTGGGCTACCAAGTGAGTCGCAGGAAAAGGCGCAAAACTACACAGAGAAACCCTGTCTCGAAAAATCAAAAAAAAAATCCAAATCTCATTTCTTGTGTTCATAATTCTAGAATGAAACTATAAGGATAGTGGGAAACTTAAAAAAATAAGTGTAGTTCAGAAATCAATCGAACAATGCCAACTATTCATGGCATTTACAGCTCTGTCAATGAGCTACATTACACAGGAGAAGAGAACATGGCCTGTTAGATGGAGACTGAGTGCTGTCCAGGTCACTGTGTCCCTGAGTCTTTAGATCACCTGTCAGATCAGAGCAGATATTGGTGCAACAGCCATGAATGTGCCAATTGTTTTATTTCCCACATTTGATTGTGAACCTGAAAGAAAATACATTAAAATCTCAAGACTTCGAGCTGGCAGTGCATTTCCCCCTGAACTGAAAGACCGGAGCACTTTGACTAGGAAAACTCAGAGTAAAACTGTGCAGGGTGAGAAACGAAAATAGGCTAAGTTACCTCCTTGGAAAACTAAGCTAGACCCCAGAAAGAAGTTAGGGGTGTTGCTAAGTGTCCAGATGTCAGACACTGTCCTTGACTCACACATGAACCTGTCCATGGGCCTCAGAGTTCATAGGGTCTTCATTTAAATACCACCCCGTTGCATAATTTGCTCACTGCAGCTTTTAACTTAATTGAAGCTTCATATATAGAGTATAATAGATAGTGTGTGATATGTATTATATATCACTACAGTGAGAAGAGCCAGCTGAATAGTTAGCTGTCTATCCAGTCCCCAGGTCACTGACAGTGCAGGGATGCACTGCTCCTGCTGTTCCTTCACTGTTCCTGGGAGTCTCAGGCTGATCCTCTGGAGTCTGACTTCCTTAGCCCATTAACCTTTGTGGGGTTCATCCATATTGTCACAGGCTCTCTGCTCTGCCTTTTGTTCTTGTCCTAGGGCATCCTATGTATGAAGACATTTTTCAAATCTTTATCCATTCTACTGTTAAGAGGCATTGGGGAACTAGTTTCCAGTGTAGGGATGTTAACGAAAGACTTTCATGAGCAGCTTAGTATTGGTCTTGGGGCAACCCACATATCCAAACATACATGTGCATGATCATATATGCCCTTGCCCAGTGAAATTGAGAATCACATGGTATATGTCAGCTTTAGAGATTTCCACCCATTTCTTGAGCCAACATCAGTTCTAAACCACCAGGCTGAAGGCATGCCTGCTAAGGGAAGCCTACCTACCAAGAATACAGCCATAGGAGCCAGAATAACATTGTAGCCATGGCCACATTATGGCCCAGCAGCAATGGCAGATGGTAACTATGATAACTTTGATTCACCAAGAATGTTAGTCCTTAGTCATCCTATTTATAGTGGCAGGGAGGAAGAGGAGGACTTCATCATGTGACAATTCAGCAGCAGAAGCTTTTCTCACTGAGAGAAGTCATTTCTGTAGACTCTTCCTTGCCCAGCATGGTTCACTCTCCACTCTGAATTAAGTCAATGGGTTTGTGGCAGGTTTCATGTTTCACGTTCACTAGTCACAGTATAGAGACACCAGTAAAAACTGAGTTGTTAAGAAGACAGGAGAACCAACTTACCAAATGTAGAACATTCTCCAGAAGGGCTGCAAAGCTGAAAATACTGATTGTAATTCCAGTCAGGATGGAGGTCTTGACAGCTGGAGGTTAGGTTGGGTGGGAGGCTTGAGGTCTCCTAGCCAAGCTGAGTTCAGAAGTTCAGTCTGCTCCCAGAGGTCTGTGCCATCCCCCACTTCAGCCAGCCCTCCTTCTCGCTCTCCTGTCATTTGGCTGGAAGTTATTAGTGACAGCCAAGAAGCGCTGTCCTAGAGAGAGTGAGTGGAGATGACCCCAACGTGTATGGCAGATGAGATGTGTGGAAGTTGCTCCCATCAGTGAGTATCTTGCTGATGTTAACAGTGAGTTCTTACAGTAAGTGTCCCTGTGGGTGTACACAGAGAGACCATATCAGCAGTGGCCGGCAATAATAACTTCTTTATTTCATTTACACTAGTATATAAGTAGGTGTGAATTTGAATATAAATTCTTGACATATGAGTTCGTATGCATAAGTCTTCCACGTTCTTTATATTGAATTTGTATGACTACAGAACCAGTTTTCCTGCTGAAAGAATCCATTTGAGAAAAGCCAGAGCTAGTACAGAGATGGCCTGGGCTATGTAGCTCCCCAGGAGATGCAGGATTCGAGAGTTCAGAGTGTCTTTATAGACATTGTGATTCTTCACAGCATCCCTGTGGTGACAGCCATTTCCCATACAAAACAGGCTGCACCGCATATAGATAGCAACACTAGCTCTCTGACCTAGGCCTTCACACATGGCATCTCAGGCTCCTTCACTCATCATTCCCCAGGCAGGGTAGAACCCACAGGCTCTTTTGTAGCATCTGGAACCACACTCAGCAGGAGTGACTGAGTAATGAGAGAATGGTGACAATTGGTAGAAACACACACACCTCTTAAATGGGGCCACAATTTTGCCCAAGTCAATAAAGATCGCAGCTAGGCTAGCCATCTGCGCTTCATCTCAGTGGGGCTCTCCACTCAGAATTACCAGGGTCAGGTTTCGGGATTCCATTTGTTTCCATTAGTTTGGACAGAAGCCTAGATATCAATATGCTTGAAACATCTCCCAGATGGTTCTGCAGGAGAGCTGAGGAGCAAGAGTGAGCTAAATGTCTCTGTGCATGCCTTCTGGCATATGGCCTATGCATAGGGACGAGTGGAAGAGAGCTCCTATGTGTGTGTACAGAAGAGCCCCAGCATACAGTGGTCCATTATTACCCAGGTAGGTATCACCAAGGCAGGAGCGCTGTGGGGTCAGAACACTATGGAAGGTCAGCCATAGGAAAAAGATCTAGGGAGCCTTGTGGGTCCATCAGGCGACTTTTCACTCTGTGGATGAGATTTGGAATGAAGAGAGGTTGTTGTTACACTATCCAAGGTGGGAATAATAAGAGGCCTCTGTGCTTTAGATGGAGCAAGAGGACTGTATTCTGGGATGCTCAACAAGGGAAGGACTTGTGATGTAGAAAATGGTGCCCTTGTCAGGCATGGCGCCACAAGTCTCACATTCCACTACCTGCCATTGCAAAGTAAGAGTGTTAGCTGTAGGCTAGCCTGGCTACACAGTAAAACCCCAATTCAGGGAAAATGAAACAGAGGGGGAAAGCAGGTGTATTTGGGCATCAGCCTATAGCCTTTGCTTAGCCAGAGTCAAACTGCTCCTTTATTATGACAGGACCATAGGATATTCATCTTAAATAAACCAGGTTTTGAAAGAAATTCTCCCATAAAGCGCACTTCACACCAGGAGACAGGCCTAACTCACTCAGGACCCTAAACGTAGAGATGTGCGGTGAGCCCGGGAAGGATCAGCTGCATACATGCTCTCATTAACCTACATGTGAAACGTCATACCCGCCACACGACAGCAGCTGTGCTCTCCAGATGCCTAGGAGCCCTACTGTCCCTGAAACCTGACCTCCCCTACACAAGAAACCACTGTCTTGATGTTTGTGATAATCAGTTCTGTGCTTCTATGCCCTTCAAATCCCAAATGTATTCGAGTCCATGCATGTGTATGTGTTGTTACTACATGGTGTCCCTGTCTTTATTAGCCTCACTCTCCTCTCTTTAATCTGTCATTTACCCATTCTCTTTATCTCCTGCAGTTTGTCTGTGCAAGAAGCCATGTACTGTCTGTAGTATTTCTCAGTTGAACTGCTGCCCGACACGTGCCCACCATGCAGTGCCCACCTCCTCTGCCCTCTGTTTCCCATCCCTTGGTGTTTGGACTGAGACACTTAGTCTCATTCGGGTTCGATGATCTGCGGATGGCAGTGCCTGCTCTCTGCCTGTCTTCCTGTCTGTCCCAGAAGCAGCCCCTGCTGTTGCCGCTCACCTCCTTTATCTGTTTGGGTGGGTGATGCTGTTCCTGTCTTACCATTGCTTCTTTGTTCATGTCTCCACGTGGGAATTCACCTCACCTAGAGGCACGGTTTATAGAAGGAGGGTGAACGGTTGACTGTTTCACCTTATAGAGATTCGGAATAACCCCCCACCCCGGCCTCTGCCTGTCACCAAGAGGTTTCCCCTTCATTTTTGTGTCACGTGTAACTCATCAGATATTTCATTAGCTTCTGTCTGTCATGGCTGCTGAGATCGCTCGTCTCTAAGGGGATGGCGCCATGGATGTAAAACAACTACAACGGCATTTGTTAAGCTTCTCCCCGAGGATGATAGAGAGGACAAAAGGACGCCTAGAGTGTCTACCCTGTCCTTCTGGTCATTGAAGTCTCCTGGCTAAGGGAGTCAGGGGCAGAGTGGAGAGAATTCAAGTTCAGTCACTGACAGAAAAAGTGGACTGAAGTGTTCCCTGTTAGTTACTTGGCTGTGTGACCTTCTGTCTCACCCTCAACCTCACTGCGGAAGTAAGAGTAACAACTTAGCCTTAGCTCCACGCGAGCTGTGAGCTGAGAATGCATGCACAGCAGCCGACACTGGCCAGCTCCTTCCCACCCCGACTCCGTTTGTGAGGCCCTGAGGTGCTGTTGAGTCCTGAAAGCCGCGAGCTCTGTGCCTACCCATGGGGTGATGGTGTCGTTTCCTGGCCACTGTCTCAGTGATGGAAGCCCAGTCAAGGCGCATGGTGAATCCGCTCAGACACCCAAGCCCATCCGTGCACACGGCTCTCTCTGTGTCGTCTCTCTCACCTGTTTCCTTCTGCAGAGGTTTTAGTTACTATCATTCAACAAAGTTCTGCTGTTAGTGTTGCTCTCTTTGCTCTCTGAAGACAGCTGGTGTTTCCTAGGAGCCTTTGTGAAAATACAGCCTGCTACTTCAGCATTTATAGAGGGTCACCTTAGCCACAGACCACGTCTAGGTTTATCTGGTTTGAAGGACTCCAGTACTGAATGTGGCTTTCCTGGTACCCATTCCATGCACCACAACAGAGCAGCAGCCTTGCACTAAATGCAACATAACACCCATCCATTACATGAGTCTTTCCTTGTCTAAGTTGCTCCTTTTCACCCTTAGAAAAATACAGTGGTGCTTGGACATTAGCAATTATTTAAAAGAAAATTGTCCCTCTTTCTGGTAAAGCTGTAGCTGAAAGTATATGTGGCTAGGTGGGTTCCAGCCAGCTTCCCAAGCTGCAAGATTTTCATCTACCCATAAACATGGGAGGATTTGGAACTTACTTCCATAGTGATTCTATTAGTTACCTTAGTGTTACTATAGCAAACTGCTCAAGGAAATTAATTGGTAAAGAGAAAAGGGCTCTTTTCTTCCTTCCTTTCTTCCTTCCTTCCAGTTGTTAGATTTATTTCTTTATTGTGTGGGTGTGGAGGAGCATGGTATGTGCATGCACAGTGAACATGCACACGAAGTCGGAGGACCACTTGCAGGACTGAGGTGTAGTGACCCTGAGGTGTCACTACTGCTAACACACAGTCTCTGGGAGCTGTTCCTCATATTCTGACCACGATAGTGGCCCTCTAGTTAGCTGGCCTTTCCCAGAAGATGGTGATAATCATTATCCAGAGCCCAGTGCTGTAGGGCTGGACCGTCTATGCAAAGCATATGCACGTACAGCTGTGCCATCATCCTGGGAGGTTAAGGAGACACTCCATTCATGATCTATAAAATAAAAAACTGGGGTCCACAGCGGTGACAGCATCTTATGGTGGCCAGATTGATCCGTGACTGACACTCAGCACTTTACACTCCTGCTTCGGGGTCTTTGTACCCGGCCTCCTCTTCTCTCAGAGCAGAGTGCAGTTGGCCCCTTCCCAAGCCTGCCCTTACTGGTGAGCTGGCTGCAGGCCCCTGCCCACCAGACGTGGGCCCTGTGCCTACCACCTGATCATCTCACCTTCTGGCTCTATTATTACGGGTTAAATAGGAAGTATCTCACCTAAGGTTCCATACGTGAACGCTTGCCCCCCCCCAAAAAAAACAATATTCAGATGAGAGTCTCTGGGTCAGTGAGGCTGTGTGGCTAGAGACCCGCTCCATGGCTCACTCCTTTGGTGCAGTCATCATGTGAGGCACTGTAGGGACACAGGAGAAGCTAGAAAATGGGGCCAAGTGGGGAGAAGTAGGCAGTGGGGGCACTGTCCTGTTCACTTCCTCAGTTTCCTTGCTTCCTGGCTGCCTGAGCTGAGCTGCTTTGTAAGGAGCTCCCTGCCATTATGGTCTGTGTCACCACCACGGTAGGGAGCAACAGGGCCGTGTCACCATGGACTGGAGCCTCTAGAGTTGTGAGTTCCTTCCCGTCCACTGCTTTTCTCGTGTGTTTGGTCACAGTGATGAAAACTGAATAGCGTCCCTCTGTGTCAAAATAAAGAACCAAAAAGCACAGAAGAGGGGAGGCAAGGAGAGAGCTGGGAAAAGCTCCTTAACATTTTGTGTTGTTCTGGGCCCTCACTGATGCACTGCTGGAAGTCTGAAGTCCAGAGCCTCAGGCATCTCTTGGTGCCCAAACAAGGACTGGGCTCACTGACAAGGCTGCCTGCCCCTTGGTGCATTTAGTCACATGTGCCCAAGGACTTTGCGCCACCTCCCCTTTATCAGAAGGTTATTTATTCATCTTCAAAGTGCTACTAACTGGACAAGTGTGTTGGACCAAGGCCTCTGGGAGTCTGTTAGAAGCTTCAGAAGCCTGAATTCCTGGTGGCTTCAGAGTGCAGCTCCTGCCTGGCCCACCACTCCTCAGGAGTGCCCTACAGAGTTCTGGGTCAACATGTGATCTGAGGGGAGAGCAGAAGGAACCATGTAGCATGAATGCTCACAGTGAAACAGGCAGAAAGAGGGCAAGCTGGAATCTAGCATTTCCTGAAGACAGCTGTTGGGTAGGGTGCCGATTGTCTTAAAGGCTTATGAGTGTCCTCTGCACAGCATGAGGCACACTGTCAGGG